CCCTTTGGATTTGTCGTTTGTCCCCATCTCCCTCTTATTTTTTTGCCTTTCACTGTCAACTTTCTTGTTACAATTACCTATATCCATCACCAGCTTACTCTCCTCCGACTCTCATCCACCAGAGTTTTTTCTGTCCCAGCCGAGTGACTGATTTTGTTCCTGTCATATTCCCCAGTGATCTTGCAGCAAACCCAGTGGTAACTCTGAAATCCTCAGCTCACGAATTCCAGAGACAGCAGTGCGATGACCCTGGCTTCGCCTAACTGCCGTGGCTGAATCTCTATGTTTCTCTGTGTTTCCAGCTGCTCTGTCATAATCCAGATTCACTGACATCAAGTGTCCAAAAGGAATTTGCTATTTCAGCAAGGAATACAAATGACTTCAGACGTCCAATAGAAGGCAAAAGAGAAAGTGAAAAATAAGCAGTTTGCTTTATACCCATCAAATGAAAAAAATTGGTAACTATAGCAATTTGTCAATACAGATGCTGTTTATCCTGTATTTTTTTTCTTATTTATTTATTGCCAATCTTGGAGATCAATACAAAAAAAGGAAAACACATTTCTTCTATGATGTAATTCAAGATTCTTCTATCACATCAGACTTAGCTTTATCTGTAATTTTATTCATTATGTTGGCATGAGGTCTCTTTATGCTTCTATTTATCATGTCTGAATGGTTTGTTATATAATAAATGTTTACAGTGTACCACTGGAAACACTCCAGAGAAACTATGCATATTCCTCCCTATATGACTCTCAAAAAATGTTTGACAGATATATGTGCTCAGAAGTCATAGAATAAAATTTTTCAAAAATATGCCTTTAAAATTTTGGATCATAACAATATTTGTAACTCATTCAGATGTATTGATCTCATTATTCTATAGGATCAAATAATTAAGTAGCATCATTGTCTTCTCTTTTTCATAGATGAAATACTTGGTGGAAATTTTCAAAGCAAAAGATTCGTTCATTATATACCATTTTAATGTATTTTTAAAGATTACAGTTTGATATGGTATCATATTTAGTTCTTACTATGTCAAGCAACAGGCTTATTTGAGTAAATAAATATGATTGTATTACAATTGTGTAAAATTATAATACGATTGCTTTGTCTAAGTATAATATGTAAAATGATCCTCTATTTTGAGAATTTTATTATTGCTTTGAACCTCACCAACCCTTTAAAACACTTTCTAATTTATGTTTTTATTTTCCTTAAGAAATGGATAATAGCACAATTAGAAAAAGGAAGCTTTAAATACTCTGGATTAGTGTTACGCTCGAAAGCACTGCCACACTCACAAATTAACCTGGTCCTAAGAAGATTATGCCACAGCCCTCAAATTTGCCTTTAAAGCATTTTGTTATTCTTCATGTGACTCTTCTCATCCATCTATCCCTATCCTACTGGTACTTATAGAAAGTAAATATCAATTTTTTTAAAAAGAAGAAATGTTTCATGTCACTTCCTGAGTTGTCTTCTTGTTATTTTGACTGTAAAAAGGCTTCTGTAAAGTAATAAAATGGAAATCTCCACTTCTGGCTGGCACTCTTTGAACAGTGACAGTCACAGGGATTCCCTAGAATACTGATGGCAAACTTCTGACTCCCAGACCACATTGGCTTGTTTATTATCACTGAAAGCTCTACAAGGTCTTCTGCCACTGCCCTGGGATTGGCCACTGTGCTTCAGCAAGTTCACTGAAAGTTGAATGAAGGATCTGGTGCTTGTGAGTTATCTGCACACGACAAGCAAAGTGCACATAGGGTGCTAAGGTGTGTGAAGGTCATCAAACATAGATGGAAGATGGAAGGCAAAATGTTGAAGGAAAAATCAATGGCAGGCTGGAGAGATGGTTTGACAGTCTAAGTGCCTGTGTGGTAAGTGCCAGGACCCAGCTTTGATCCCCAGTACCAAGTGTGTGCCAGCCCTGGAACCCATGGCTTGCCTGTCTGGTCTCCCAAAATTGAGTGTGGTGGTTCCTTGCCTGTAATCCTGGCACTGTAGGCTGAGTCAGGAGGACTACTACAAGTCTGAGCTGCATAGTGAGACTTTCTACCACAAACAAACAAACAAATAGAATCAATGGCCAATGCATTGCTTAACTCCCTCTTCTGAACCTTAACAGAGATTCTCTTGAGTAGAACTCCTTCTGAACATGAGGTGAGAACTTGAGTCCATGAACAATGGTAAGCAGCACCTTTAGTGGAGGAAAATATTAGCTAACTTATGATAATTTGGGGCCCCAAATAGGTGCTGCATCAGACAAAACAAACAGAACCATTCACAGCAATGGAAGGAGGGGCTGGTACCTAAATGCTCACTTGTAAACATGAAACTCACATTTAAATGCCAGGCTTGCAGTTTATTATCTTTTTT